TAGGATATTAAATACCTGGCTAAAAAGACTAGGTGAACTGGCAGGCTTTGACCTGTCGATTGCATCATACTGGCTCCGGAGAGGGGCTGGTGAAGCTATGAATAGTAGCTGTATGTCCTGTACATATTTTACATACGCGTGAGGAGTGCTCTACTGACCTATTTCTAGGCGAGATCAGTGAAGCTCAGCAGAACCTACTCCTCCAGCATGCAGCCAACTCGTCTGTATATCAGGAACGTTACGCGCCAGATTATTTCCCCAAAGATTTCAGCGCGGTGTGGCGAGGCAGCCAGCTTCAAACTGATGTAATGCGGATGGCCAGTGGGCAAACCCGTTCGATTGACCTGCGTCGTCCGGTCGATCTCAACGAGGCTCAGACAGTGGCAGCCGATGCGCAGCCTGAGGTTCAACGTTGTAAGGCGCGCTGGCAGCAGTCGCGATTGAAAGTCCAGATGGTATATGGAGCATTATCCAAAGGCAAAGGAACACCGTTGTATCAAAAAGCAATGAAGAGGCGAAATGCCTACCACACTGCACGTCAGGCGGCTCGTCGTGAGATGAAGACAGCAATTCGTGCTCGGTTTAATGAGGAGCAACCGACAGAAGATATCTTACGGCAAATACACGGACTTCCAATGGAATCGATGAGCAAACGCGAGGATAAGCCAGTGCCCCCTGAGCAGCAGCGCGCGTTTTCTCTTCTTTTTCGATTTGCCCCTCACACAGAGCGTGAAGAAACCGAATACAGGGCTGCAGTCGTTGATGCAGTGTCTAAGGTTGGGCCGAGCCGTAAATGCCGGCTTAAGGAAATACATAGCGAAGGCCATACACCTGCGTGGATGACAGCAGCGATCCAAGGTAAACGTCAGGTTCAATTGGCGCGACGGCAATGTCTCTTGTGTATGATCTACGGTGTTCGCGGAGAGCCTTTCACTCGAGATTTAAGCTTCGAACGGCATATCCGTAGGATCCATGACAAGAAAATACGGTGTCCCGATCCTGCCTGTCAGGATATGCTCATTGGTCACATTGATATCACTAATCATATGCGATATATACACGGCGCATAATATTCTTATCTCTTAGAGTCAAAACTGCTTTTTATTAGCTTTCGCAGATTACATTCAATCCGAATCCGTATTTTTAATTTTGTGGTCGAAGAGAGAAACTTGACTCTAATCTATAAGAAACACTGTTATCTATATTTTTCAATTTATATATTCTTCTAGAGTTATTACTTATCCCAAGAGAAAAGTCTTCAATAATTTTCTGCTACTGTTCTTTTGACAGGTATTCCCGAGTCCCGAGTTTATCCAGAGCCAAAGGGTAGTCACCACCTACAGCGGTTGTGACAGCGTGGCAGAGAATGGAGATATCATGTGATTATAAGATCATTTGACCCGCAAAGTCTCTTCGGCGAGCAACTTTGCGACCAAGGAGCGTACACTCTCACTCCTCTCCATAGCCGTATTCTAATACTGCGTCTAATGGCGTAGATTGAGATGTTCTTCCATCCATTACAAGCTGACGCCACGCCATGGGTCCTATTTCGCGCCGTCGCCCGTAGCACTGACCAATGCTACTTACGTGCACGAAGGACTTCCGGGGGTCCGCCATCACTGCAAGAATTTGATGATCGTTTGTCTTGGGCGGAGAAATCCACACCGTTCATATCCTTCGGCAATTGGAGGCGGGCTCTGGCGCAAAGGAATTATCTGGAAAGTACGGGGGCAAGGGATATTGTTGTGATTGCTGTTTGGACAAAAGGATTGGCAAGCGTGTACAGTGCAGAGGAGGTTGCACGTAGGCTTGGGTACTCTGACATAGGGCTAGATCCTGACAGAAAGCTATAGTCTCACCGTGATGAATACCTTGTTGAAGGCCGCATTCGGGCTGATGAATACCGTATTCTCGCGGTTTTCGAAGGTGGTGGGCCTGAACGTAATGTCGTTTTCGAATGCCTTTTTATTTATCAGGCATCCACGATAATTCCGAACGGATTTTTCCCTGGACGAAGATCAAGCAACGCCCTGGAGGATATCGAAGACGAAATATACTATCATTCAGGAGTTCGCAACGATATGAAGCGAGATGTGCTTGTGCAAGCAATCACTGGATGGCATCAATTTTTTCCAATCATTCACTACGAGTTGCAGAATTAATGTGAAACACAGAGTCTCATTTGTGGCTCACAAGTTGAAAGAACAATCAAAAACAGATGACTTTATCTCGTTAGAAAACAGCCAATTGACTTATCCAGCCATCAAATCGTAATCTCAGTATATCACCCAAATTGGTTGACCCATCTGCTTCTACCGTCACCTGTTCCAAGTCTCGAACAATCTTCTCTATATATTCGCCCGCGCCAGTGAGTTTCAAAATACGTGCGATGGCACGGTGGATGCTGAGGAGCCGAGGAGATGGCAGATTAATCGTATCGTTAGGGCTCCGTGTTAAGGCGCGAGTGACAGGGAAGAAAGGGTCGCTTAGGAAACCGCTCTCGACGGAGTAAATCCTATATTCATGAGGTCTGCCCGTGGATTCAAAGTATATTTGGACTTCACCAAAGAGCCGGTGGTTCTCAAGCGTTAATGTGAGAGCGTTGGATGGGCTGTCGATGTTGGGGCCATCAATGAGGTGAGTGATACCAGGGTCAAACATATCTAAAATCCGGAGTACACTACTCTTTGAATCGGTCTTAAGCGCAGTTAGTGAAGTCGTAGACGCGCGAGGGTATATCCATACCAGATCCCCATCTGCAGAAGCAACCTTTGTTAGGCAATGAGGCAGTATATGGGCGACTTCCAGGTACTGGAAGTTACCACGTGGTTCAATCTCGAGGAGCCTTCCATTGTCATCTTCACACTTTTCGTTGTTAGCAAGTCGCCTTCTAGCTTCGGTTATGTCAAACTTCCGAGATACAACGCATCGATAGCGATCGCGGATGAGGCAGTCGCGTCTCAAAAACGATATGCGCTGTTTGGTGCCAACGGCGGTCGATGCTTGTATTTGCGGACAGGGTGGTGGGCGTTGGCTGCGGTGTCTTAACGGACGAGGCTCTCACTAGATCGCTTGAGTTAGAGAGTCATAGAAAGGAGGAGACATGACAAATATACGCGGAAGGAAGAACTGCGTAACCATGTAGCCTGCAAACGTTTCAAGAGCATTCATCACATCGCTTCCCGGAGCTGGCTCTCGAGAAATGATATCCTCGAAGTTCGATAAGGCCAACGTAATGTTTGATGTTAGGTCAGTCGAGTTTTCATGAAGATATGTCAAAAAAAAGATAAGAATATATCTTTTGCAATGATATGGTCAAGCGTAGTGCATATTAATTTCGCAGGCTTATAGCCCCTTTCCGTTGCTCGGTCGAGTCCATAGTCCTTGATAAATATATCAAGGAGCCTCTTCGCGGAATAAGATTATTGTGGACTTAGCGAGAAGGGTTCTGAGAAGTCCAGGACTCCCTCAAGCGATGATTGATGCCTGTGCGACGACATTGTCGCTTGCAGACATAGACTTGGGAGGCTCACGGTTGATCGTGATACGGCACGTGATATTACATAACCATCTGTCGGACTAATGAACGGGCCGCGACAAAAGACGACGATTTTCTTTAAACCCGCACGTGGCTTGTCATGCTTTTATCATGGAACCGCATCTTAACTCAAGTGAAGATGCCAGCAAACCTGAAAGCCCCACAACTTGAAATAATTAACTATAATTCATCATATGATTCAAAGTGGATCATTAAACAGGTCTGAAATCGCATTTGCCGCTAACTGCAGCAAACAAGCCGTAACTTAAATTCGTCGCAACCTGGAGGCGTTTGGAAATGTCAGAGCTCCCCGGAACAGCATCGGACGCCCTCCTAGTGTCACCCAGCCCATGCTTGAAGCTCTCTGTGAGCACTTGAAAGAAAACGGACCCTATACAGTTGGAGTCGTTACTGCTGTCATTCCCCTATACTTTTTGATTGTTTTTCGAACCCTAATGCTAACAACGCTAGTCTGTATAAGGAAGGTAACCGTAACAATAATGTTCCGGAATTTTTGGTTGTACTGTATTGCACGGTAATAATACAGGTTTTTGCATTGAGATTGTATCAGTAAACCATGGGAGCTGGAAGCTTCTACACTGCAAACGCGTCGAACATGCCAGAGCAAGTGCCTTGCATATCCTGCAAATTGTAAACATTCCTTTTATCTGTACTGAGCCACAGTTGATCCTTTTACCAGATTAACCAAGATGGGTAGGGCTACAATACCGTACCTGTCTTAATTCATCGTCCATGAACCTGATCATTTTGCTGGTCTTGTTAGCTGCACCTCCTCCCTCACGGATACTATTCTTGCTGGAACACCCACATAGCGTAGGCTAACATATGATGGTCCCAACACTAGGCTCCTCAGTGGCATCTACTGCCTTGATACACGCGATTATAATTATTTAGAGGTCTGGTTGATATATAAGCCAGGTTAAGTACATGTTTAATCTAGCCGTGGTAAAAGGCTTAACGTAGATCATCGTCTCCCGAAAAACCTTTTGAATGCCCATCTTTTACCACCTGTAACGGGTTCAGAGTCTGATTTTATCTGCTTGGGAGGGTTATTCTGGATAGGCAAGGCAGGAGAGATTGCGGCTGAAGTTTGCTGTGCTGGCTTCTTTGATAGAGAATTCACAGCTCTTTCCCAGTCTCTAAGAGCGTTAGAGGAGGATATGGCACGTGGGTGATGTGGACCTAACAAATTGCAGCTGAGCCCTACACACTTTTCCATCAGAACTAAGGCATCTTGAACCTTGCCTAGTTGTTTCCATGTATAGGCCAGGTTGTTCATGCTGGTCAGAGTATCTGGATGCTCTGGCCCCAGCACTTGCTTGCGGAGCTCCATTACCTGTACTTCCAGCTCTTCTGCTTCCTTCCAT